TTTATTATAGACAGGACAAGTAAGCATCTTTACATTGTGTGGCTTGTCCAATTGTAAGGCCCTATGTTCAGTTGCTTGTAACTTGGACAGACTTTGAGACCTTAATTGCTGTACCACTATTCCCTATGTGTAAAATAAAGAAATAATGCCATCTCATCTCTCAGGTGTATTGTAATTATAAATTAACTAATATTTATGAAAAACGTTGATTCTCCAATAAGAGTGGCTAAAAGGATTGCATTTTGGGGAAAAGAATGAGGTTTTCTTTTGTTATAATGCACAAAAAAACAATGATAGAGATACTTTCCACATAAAGGCCAGTAATCCTGCGATGAATGAGGCTGCTCATCAGGACAGGGTTGGGCAGGACAGGGCTGTCTCACTTCTGGACAGCTGGGGGCTGCACATTGTGATAGTCACAGACCTGAGGTCTACATGCTGCAGGGAGCTACTGATGTCCCCACTGGGTCCTATTACACCAGATTATGGGCAAACAAGTCTGGGAGTCACCCAGGGTCTCAGAGAGCAGGCAAGACCAGAAGAAGCACATGGAATTTAAGTGTTGGGGAGCCAGAAAGCCAGAAGCCAGGAGGTCCATCTGAGAAGTTGAGTCAGAGAGCCAGAGGGTTGGGTTCTGTCATGGAGACAGAACACAAACTGGGTCAGGTAGCCAGAAGGATCAGGTTGAGTAAGCTGAAGGGTCAGTGTAACACGGTGCTTGGCTCACGGGCTGGAGTCCAGCTGCAGGGAGTTAGGAAAGGGATGAGCAATTTAGGGAGGTTTGGTGAGCTGTTGCAGGCCAGGTCAGCACCCCCTTCCTGCTCCTGCCCTGCAACAGCTCACCAAAACTCCCTAAGTCAGGGATGGGCAATTATTTTGGTTGGAGGGCCACTTAATGAGTCTTGGTGTCCTCTTGATGGCCTCTCTATCTTTTGCCCTAATCCCCACACCGCCCAGAACTGTAGCCCATTCTGATCTCTACTCTGGAGCTGCAGCATGCCCTGATCCTCACTCTGCTGGAGCTACAGCATGTCCCGATTCTTACCCTGCCTGGAGCTGTAGCACACCTCCTTTGCCACCCCACCTGGAGCTGTCGCATGCTCCAATCCCCACCCTGCTCGAACTGCAGCATGCCCCAAATCCCACTCCACCTGGAGCTGTAGCATACCCCAACCTGGAACCTGCTGGCCACATCTGCTGCTTACACCAACACTGACCTGGTGGGCTGGAAGCAGCCCTGGATGGGTGCTGGTGTCAGCTGTAGACATGGCCAGCAAGTTCTGGGTCGGGACTGGGGCATCCACCCAGGCCCACAGCTGACATCACTGCGTCAGTGCTGAGCAGAAGCAGTTCCACTCACCTGTCTGGTGCAGTGGAAACAGCCCTGCTTGCCGGCACCATGCCGTGGTTGTAGCTGGAGCTGCTGGCTGTTGTGGGCCAGATCCCATGAGTTTGTGCCCATCTGCCCTCAGGCCAAATACAATCAGCCAATGGGCTGTATTTTTCCCACCCCTGGGTTAGAGAGTAATAACCTACCTGCCTGGGAGCTCTGGGCTAGCTGATGGGGATGATTGGGTCTGGGGCCAGAGGAAGTTGCAAGTTCCCAGAGAGATGATGCTGGAGTGGGAAGAAAGCTGAGAAGAAAGCTAACACTGAATCACTGCAGTAAAAACCTTGCCCTAGGATAGGAGGTGGCGGTGGGGGGAGGGTTTTTGATGTTTTGTTTACTGTTTAATTTAAGGTAGGGAAGTGGAAAGGCTGGTTTCTGGGCCTCACTAAAGAAGTAACAACCATCTACAGTCAGAGAAAGCATGAAGTCTGAAGGAAAGTCCCCCCTAGGCAGCACAGGTAGCCCAACTCTTCCACGTTGCATGTGCAGCAACCCTCTCCCAGTTGTGCATGCTACCCATTTTTAGTGCAGCCAGCCCTGGTCCCTTCTTTGCCATGTGTGTAACTTGGGCACTCCAGTTATCAGAAGGGGAGGGGACATGGCAGCTGGGTGAGACCTTCAGGCTGCATGCCAGCTCTTCATGTACTGTGGGCCACCAACTGGACAGCTCTGATCTGGGTTGTGAGAAACCCCATTTTAAGTGCCTGAGAGTCTTCTATACCCTAGAACAGTGTTGCTCAACCTTATTGCCCTGTGGGCTGGATGGGTGGTGCCTAGTCTGTCCATAGGTCAGATCTCACCTGTCAGCCAGGTCTGGTATGCTGGGTGGGCAAGCTTGGGCCTGATCTGGCTGTATGGGGGAGGAATGGCAGTATTAATTACCAGCTCTCCCTGCCCCCAGATTTCCTGACCTGTGGGAAACCTTGAGGCTAGATGCCATGGCTCCATGTGCTAGATTTGGTCTGTGGGCCAGGGGTTAAGCACACCTACAAAGGTGCCCTACCCACTGAGCTGGCATGTTTTCTCGAGTGAGTGGCGTATTGATTTGTTCCAGTCAGAGGTCCTGTCCCAATCATCACGTCATGAAAACTGGCACTTTTTCGTAAAAAGTTTCAGTTTTGACACCATTGCTTCCAGGAGGAGAGGAATCCAGCTGTGGCTGGGAGCCTGCAGCCAGGTTCCCACAGCAACCACCACAGCTGTCTGCTAGTGCTGCTGTTTTCAGAATGGGAGGGGGGAAAGGCAGTGGAGGGAGCTCGTTCTTGGGGCTCCCCCCACCTTGGGGGAGGCTCCAATGTTCCTCCCTCACCATAGGTGACGCATGGGGGGGGCATGTGCCCCGCCTGAGATTAGCTGCCATTGAAGCCGCCACCAGCTTCTTTGGGCAGTTGCTGCTTGCCACCCACCCCCCAGCACTGGTTCCTACTTGCTCCAGGCTCGGGAGGCACCAGTTGTTCATGCCCCCCCACTGTTGGGGAGCTGAAACCCTGCCGCAAACTGAACTGTCTACCCTTTCCCCCCCTCCCATCCTGAAAACAAGGACAGCCTGGGAGGTAGCCCAGACACAAGTTATAGAAGGTGCTACATTTTGAAACATCTTTATCTAATAACTCATGCAAGGAGAGGTTCGATTTTCACCTGATCTGCCATTTTTTGAAGATGTTTCTGGCCCTGTGCTTGTGTCTGGCCGTGGCTACAGACTGCTTTCTGTGGCCAGATTTGGGGGGGCGGGGGCCTTGTCCCTTCTGTCTGCACCCTGGCTGGTTTCTATCCAGCTTCAATTTGCACCTCTGGCAGGTCTGCTCATCCAGGGAGCACCTTAGGCCCAGAGCACCTCCATGAGTCACGGGCCATTCAAAGCAAAACAGTGGCAAGAAAAGTGGGTACACCCACAAAAGCCTCGGTCCCAGTGACATCAATTAAGGAGTAAGACGTGGGGCTCTTGTGTGCCAGCGCAGCCTGTGAAACCAGGGCAGGGTGGCACCAGGAACAGGACGTATCCGGCGGGGCCAGAACCCTCCACCTCGCGTCAGAGTCGGGTGGGGACGCGCGCGTGGAGCTGCCGCAGGCGGAGGCGGGGCTGGACCTGCCGCGCCGGAGACCGCAGCGGCCGGTCCCTCACCCCCTATTGGCCAGCTCGCGCCGGACTCGGGCGTGGCGACCCGGCAGGAGGGGTAGGGACGACTCCCCAAATTGGCCAATCAGGAGTGGCCTCGGGCTGGAGAGTGACGTGGCCGCAACCCAATCGGGGCACGGCTGCCACGCCGGGGGCTGCCAATAATAGCGGCTCACTCCAAGCCAGCTGCTGAAGGTAGTAGCTGCGACCGCAGTGCGAGGAGTGTTCAGCCTAGCTCAGCGGAGGTGGTAGCACGGTAGGGGTGGCGTCGCGTGCGGCCCGCTTTTCCCCCAGTCCTCCTGCAGTGGTGTGACCCGCTCCCTCCCACCCCGAGCCTATCACCCAGCGGGCTTGGAGCAGCCGATTCTGGAGGTGGGGGGAGTGTTCTGGGCGCGGGGTTGATGGGCGGCTGGGGGAGCCCGGGTCGTACCTCTCTCCCCCTCTCCGCGGGCTGTCTGGCAACCGCGTCCCCCCCCCCCCCCCCCCCCGGGGGGGGGGGGGG